GGGCTAAAATAATTTAATTTAAAAAAAAAAAAAAAAAAAAGATACAAACCATGTGCCCAAACTTTGGCAACGTGAGTGGCATCCTCTTTCACAATTGGAGTCCTTGCCCCAGAAACGGACAGATGAGGTGTGAACTTTTGCTTTGGCGGTTCTTGCAACAGAGTTCCGGGTCTGAAGTGACTGCTCGGGAAAGACCTGAGGCCAACAGCTAAGAAGAACATTTTAGACACCCATTCCAAGCAGTCAGCTTGGAAAATGATTTTGAAAAAAAAAAAAAATTATCGCTATCATGCTATACCTTAGCAATAAAGCCAAAGAATCACCGTCATTGTTTACCTTGCCCGTATGGGTGGCAGAGAGTGAGGGCTGCCATCGCAACAAGAAGCAAAGCCCTGTTGGAACACAAACACTTGACACAAAAATTTACCAAAGGAGGCACAAAACAGAACATCAAAAATTGCCCACTCACCCAGAAGCCACACAACCAGTCATGATGACAGCAAAAGGAGCAAAGTCGTAACTCATGCAAGACCAGGACTGTTTTTTTTAAATGGTGCCAGTGGCAAGTTTGGACCAATCGGGAGACGGCAGCTTGGCGGGCCACAGCTGCCCCACGTTCAATCCTGATGAAGTCGCGGCCTCGCACTCGTCACTTGCCAACGAGTTACACATGGGCTTTTATTTTTCTGTTCATGATAAATTCGGAACCCGGCCTTCCTGTGTGGCGTTTGCGTCTTCTTCCCGTGCCTGCGTGGGTTTTCTCCGGGTACTTTTGGAAAGCGGAGTACCCGGAGAAAACCCATGCAGGCACGGGGAGAACACGCTAACCCCACACAGGAAGGCCGGAGCCGGAATCGAACCGTGCAGCACTGTGAGGCTAACCAGTCGCCCACCATGCCGCCCAAATTTGTTAACAGTAAGTTAAAAATGAAATAATGAGGAAAAAAAAATGGAATCAAACCGTCCATTCAGCTCTTTAATTTTTTTGTTGGCTGGAGTCAATGTCCAATCAACAACTCAACTGCTCACACTTTTGGAAAGCGGAGTACCCGGAGAAAACCCATGCAGGCACGGGGAGAACACGCTAACCCCACACAGGAAGGCCGGAGCCGGAATCGAACCGTGCAGCACTGTGAGGCTAACCAGTCGCCCACCATGCCGCCCAAATTTGTTAACAGTAAGTTAAAAATGAAATAATGAGGAAAAAAAAATGGAATCAAACCGTCCATTCAGCTCTTTAATTTTTTTGTTGGCTGGAGTCAATGTCCAATCAACAACTCAACTGCTCACGGCACTGTCTTTGAATCGTGCAGGTGTACCTAATGTTTTGGCCTATGAAAAGCTGCAAGTTCAAGCTTCCTGTCAAACTGGGGGAGCGCAACGTGAAAACTCGGCGTCTTCTTCTTCTTCTTCTTCTTCTTGTGGCTGAAAGCGAGTGAAGAGCCATAAAAGACATGCAAATGTGTGCGCCGTGTCGGCGGCACATGCCTTCATTAAGATCTCATTGCTCCCCACGCAGCTTGAGACGCTGCCAAATGTGCCACGGCTCAACATTGTAACAATTTCCGGCACTCCACATGTGTATTTCCTGCCTTTCTAATCAGAATTCTATTTTGCGTCTCAAAAGGGGCTCCATTCAGGCGCACATTAGCAGCCCTCGTCAGCCCTAATGTGGCTGCTCGGGGCCACGGGCCACCAGCTGCATCCACTTGTCACTCGCTGCTGCACATGCCCGCACTTACTCACTCAATATCTGTCTGTGGTGCTCAATAAAAAAAAATAGCAAGACGCACTTTTATGGATGTTGACGTTAGGGACGTGCGTGTCCGTCACTGATGCTGATGAGAGACGTATTACCATACACTGCCATGTTTGGGCCGACGATCGAGCGCGTCTTTGCTCATCGAATAAGGTATCGCGTGATTAGGTTCGCTCAAGCTATGGTAGGATTTAAGACAATATGATACACTCTATTTTTGTGGTGCAATGATAAACCGATCAATCGACGTAGACGATTACGAATTTTAAATTGTCCCGATGCTTCAGCTTGTCACAGGCAAATGTTATCCGATTTTTGTCGTCCTCCATGAAAGGCGGACTGATTATCTTGGTGTCGTATCAAAATAGACGAAAAATTTGGTTTGACTTTGGAAAACAATGATTGACATTGTTTTCCCCCACATTTTTTGACAGACATGATAAGGACCAAACCAGTCACTGAATCGTAATCAATTGCTATCAATTTGAAACAATGTCATTATTTTGGGGGGGCGAATAAAAATGTTTTTAAATCCTATCAATCATCAAAATAATTGTGACTTGTAGCCCTACTCCAATTAGAATACGGTACGATAAATTACGATCAACGGTACAATGCAAAGCCACAACATGATACGATTCACTCTAATTTCAATGCGATAAAAGATGATGCACGACAGCCTATCATGAGCTGATACACTTTAGATATGATATCATTACAATACGATTCCATACAATTGATATCTATTAGGCCAAACTCCATTTTGGATACAATCGGTTTACTTCCAACGATGATTTGATACGATTCGTCACTCCAATTACTCTACGATATGAGACGATCCGTTTCTTCCGTATATGATGCGGTATCATTTGGCTATCGTCATGTAATTGTATGTATCAAACACATCAACAGTAAGAGTGGATGACATTTTGCGACACTTTTGTTTTTTTTTTGTTTGTTTTTTTGAGTGAGGCGTGGATTCGAGTGGGTTGCAAATTGGAGCAGATCCCGATGCAAATCTAGTGGATTTTCCCCGCGCAGCCGCCGCATTCTCCAAACAAATCAAACGCAGGGAGAACTCAATTATGACGGATCAATAATTCAGCATTCCCAATTATTCTTTAATTGTAAGACGGCGTATCAGCCCATCTGACTGCGCGCGTGTTTGTTACCCTGCAGAGCTTTTGGCTGATTGTTTGGATGAGATTAGATATGTGTGTGTGTGTGTGAGTGTGTGTGTGCGCGTGTGTATCAAGCAAGAGATCTTGCTATGTCAGGCAACACACAGGCACAAACACACGGGCGCGCGCGCGCAGCCTTAATGACACAAACACATCACATAAAGCCAAATGCTGCCACTAAAATTTGCATGGTGCTCAGTAATGCATTAGTGAACATCACTTGGCAATCTGTTCATACGGCCTTAATTGGATTTTAATACTGCCTCTGATCTTGTTTTCTAATTAACAGCGGTGGCTGGCGACCAAGCAGAACCGTGCACCCGGCGACACCTTTGATCCCCGCCATATGGAGCTCCTCCCGCATGTAGAGGGAGAAGGGAAAAAAAAAAAAAAAAAACTCACCTAGGCGTGGGCGCACACCAACACACCCCCCCCCCACCCCAAATCAAAATGGATGCATGGAGCAGAGGTGGCAAAGAGTGGCGGCATGTGTCGTCCTCGCATCCCAGCGGCTTTGTTATTGATTAATTTCCCTTCTCCCTCTACATGCGGGAGG